CTAGTCCATAGCAAACTGCCACCACCCCCACTATCGATAACAACCCTATATTACACAACAAAAGACTTATAAAAAAATTCATAGATACAACAGAAAGCACACTCACCGAACTGTCAACCATCCGACAAACAATCTCCAAACTCAAAAACATCACAATATACACTGATGGCTCCTTAGACACAGACCACAGAATGGGTTTTGGATGGCACATTACCCAAACCCCTGAAACAAACTTTAAAAGGAAATACACAACTACCCCTTCTCCACAAGAGCTGAATTAGCAGCTATCGTATTATTCTTAATTACAGCTCCATCAAACAGCAATATTACAATATGCAGCGACAGTCAAGCAGTACTCAACGCCATCACCAAAGCTCAAGGAAACCCAACCACTATCATAATGCTAAAAAATAGCACTCTAATCAATATAATCAATCACATCACTAATCAACAATGACTTAACATCACATGGAAAAAAATCAAAGCACATAGTATCGATCCAGACAACGACAAAGCAGACATGCTTACCAATGAGGCAACAATTATAGGCAAAGCCTCAGAAATCAAATTCATTCCTATAAAAAACAGTCAAAACCCATGGATCCAAGAGTGGAATGAACAAGTTCTAAACAACACAATATCAAAAACTGTAAGAAACCTCATCAAAGCAAGGTACATCTTCAGCTGGAGAATGTTAGACTGTAACCTAAATTCAACAAACAGCAATACACTTCAAATTATAGCATGGGCCAAAACAATGATACACAAACCCCCATCTCAAATAATAACGGGTGCCACTAACAAACTGGACCACAACACCAGGTCATTTAGACTTAGGCTATGGAACTTAGAACTGCCAACCAAAGATAAACTACACAAAAGGGCAGCAACAACATATAAAGACAATCTATGTATCAACTGTTAGCATATCGAAACCAACACCCATATAATGATATGTGAAGACAATGTCACAAACATCTTCAAAAAACTACTTCAAATAATCAATGAGGAAATTAGCAGCAGAAAACAACAAATCCTTCACAAAACGCTGAACGACAAACTTAAAAAAATAGAAAGTGAATGGACTCCTGAGGAAAGAAACTATATTGCAAGGGGGGCACTAACAAAAGACCTCTTAAAAATAATAAAGGAACACACAACAGCAGAAAACCAAAAAGAAATTTTTCAAAATATTATAGACAAATTTTTGACCATCCTTCAGGGCAAATGGCAACTAAGATGCCAACTCTTTTCACAGTGGGAAACCAAACAAAACAGAATCAAAAAAGATAAAAAAAAATAGAAAACGCTGGTCAGGAAAACCACTATACACAAATCATACATTCCAGGAATCAACGAAATCATGAAACACTCTAGTCAATACTGGATTAACTGGAACACAATATACTCCTTCAAAACAAATTTTTTATGGGACGGATAGAGCCTTGGCAAATTAGCTAAGTATATACCAGTATTTGGCAATAAGCCACACGGTAGGACTTTCCTTAGTGAGTTTAATTAGGTAGCTAGAGAGTTAAATTTATATAAAATAAATTTGTACGTACTCATAACAATATCTAATAACAAGGTGTAAGCCACCCAGTTAAAAAAAAAAAAAAAAAGAATATTTTAGAGTACTTTATGTTAAGTTTGATAATAGTAAAATCAAATATCAATGTTCTATAAGATCTTTACTTTCAGGTGATCAAAAAATTGTTACATGTTGATCTGAGGTACTGGAATTATCCTAGGTACTAGGGAGATCATATTGTGAAATTTTATAGTTCAACACTATTTAATTGATGAATATGAACTTTATGATATTACACATTAGTTGTTTTAATACACTTGATGCACTTCTTCTGTTGTTTGAGCTTTTTGTTTATGTTTTGACTTTTTTTTCAGTTGATTGTAATATTATACCTGAGTTTCCATGCTTTTAACTTCTTTTACTAAAACTTGTGAATTGTTGTTCTAATTACTTCCACAGCTTTTATCCTGTTCTTTATTATAGTTTCTATCACTTGAATCATGTTATGTATTATGACTCCTTTAATTAGGTTCTTCCATTCATTCTAGTATCATATTTTTATGGATTTTTTGTATTCTTATAGTATTTATATTCTTTTTCAATTGTTTTATATTTGTTCTTTTTGTATCCTTTCAGTTCTCATTTTATTTTCCTTTGTTAGGGCTTGGATGTATTCTTCTTGGAGTCTTGCTTGAGCTGTGCTACATTGAAAGATATGATAATTAATTTCTTTGTGCTGTTTACATATTTTGTACTTGTTATTTAAATATATATCTTGTTATATTATATTCAGTTTGTTTATAGTTGACAGTTTTTTATTTATATCTTGATTCTGAATGAATGTTTATATAGTATTTAATATTTGTTAATATTGATGTAATCTCTGTTGGCATTAGAAGGTTTAAAGTTAATGACTAGTGGATTTTTTTAGCTTTTCTTTAATTTAATCAGTTATGATTCCTATATAGTATTTACTATTTTCTTGCTCATTTATTCTTAAGAATCTGTTTTGTTAAGAACTTTACTGCTATATTATGTTGTTTTTGATTCTATCATATAGATACTTTGATTATCATATCTGTTTGTATATTTACTGTTATGATATGTTTTGATTTATCTTTTAGTCTTATAAAGGTCAACTTGTCTGCCCTTTGTTGTCTGGGATGCCTAAGTGGCTCTTTACTTTTTTCGAGTTCACTATTAGTCTTTTGATATTGATTATGTCCTTGATAGTGTTCTTATGATTTGATTTGAATATTTTATTTTACCTTGATGTCTCTTTGGGTTGAAGGGTCTCTAAGGACTTTGATTTCTAACTAGCTGATTGTAAGGATAGTAATAGTTTTGCTAATTTTAATTGTATTTACTGCTGTTAAGATAGTTATTAGCTAAGCTTTTGTGGATGAGGAAATGTTGATATTTCTGCTTGGAATTATGTTACTTATTCTTCTAATTGAGCTATAATAATTAGCCCAGACCTATTCTGCATTTTCTGAATGTCTAGTATATAAATTATCTATGTAAATCTATATGTCATTGAGTTTATTCACTTTTTTTACTATGTATATTAGCTAGTCTATATATTTATCATTTTCAATTAATCTACTTCGTATTATTTGCATTGTTTTTTATAAGGGATCTAAGTGAAGCTGTGGTGCCATCTTGTGAACATGTTGTTCCTTTTTTATGTAGTGCTTTCTTAATTCCTTTAGAAGTGAAGTACAGTCTGTTTATTTCATATTGTAATAAAGCTGATTACTCTTTACTGGGATCTGTTTATTTTGAGATATTGTCTATTACACATTAATAGTTCTTACCATTATTAGCTCAATGATGCATTGACCTTGTTTCTTGTATTGATTTCTTAACAATTGATTGTTTTTCTGGTATTCTTTGTATTTGAAGAGAGGCAATATTGCTGGATCCTATATTATATGATTAGTTATTATTCTATTTAAATCTATTACTCTCCTCTTTCTATAGATTGCAATTTGATTATCTAATTCCATTGTTATTCACTTAATAGTTGCCTTTGGCTAGAAAGAAAGAACTGGAATATTGTTGTGAAATTTGTTATCAGTGTAGATAAAGTGGATATCTGCAATGTTTTTGTAGAAGTTCCTGTTTGGATCTATATATATAATTTGGTATAGTTATTGAAACTATCTTGGGACACTTCCCTGTCTATCTTTTTTTGTTCTAAGTTGCTGTCATGTGTGGATTTCAAGAGATCATCATTCATAAGTTGTTTTATGAAGAAAATATTTCTCTTTTTAGAAATTACCTGTTTTGATTATATCAATCTCTTATTGTTATGTCTTTTATTGTGGTTTTACCTTTCTCAGGAGAAATACATATAGTTGATAGTCTGTTGTCTTGAAGGTAATGCCCTGTACTTTGTGCATGTTAAGGATGACATTTGTGAGATTTTGTCTTTTCTTTGTCCAGTAAGGATATTTATCTTCTATAATTGATGTTTTTGACAGTATTAGTTTTAAAGTTGTTGTAACTTGATCCATGCTATTCTGTACACATGTTATTGCCATTGATCTTCTTGGACTAGTTGTTACTGTGAGCCAGGACCTGTCTGTCCTACATGTTGAACAGTCTGTATCTGAAGTCTGACTGAATGATTGTATTTGGTACAGTCATGGGTAAGTTACTTTTGTGCTTGAATGTTTTGACTATTTTGCTATTAAGGCAGTCACATTCTTGTTCCATGAAGGTCATAGTTTTAACATAAACATAATTATCTCTACTTAATTTAAATAAAGGTTGAGCCAGCATTAAATATAAAAAAATAACAAATTCTACATAAAATTACAAGTTCAAGCTTATTTTTTTAAAACAAAAATATTGTAAAATAATTCGCAAACAACTTTAAGTACAGATTTTAAATATTACACAGGTATATATTTAAAAGTTCTCTTTAATATTTTTCATTATTTAATTCACTTAATAAAGCATAATATCAAGCTCATCTAGCCATTATACCTTGAGAAATATCAATAAAATGCACAATAATTATAACTAATTATTTAATTTTTAGATTACTATACTGTATGTATTATAAGAAACCAAAATAGAAGAATTTAAAAAAGGAAAAAAAGGGTTTAATTATTCTACATGAAATTAGGAATACCTTATTCACAGGATTTTATTGTTGCTATCACTAAACAAAAATAACAAATTATTGATACAAGTTACACTAAAATTCATGAGAATTATGAGTACTAATAATAATTCCATATCAAATCCCACATGAGAATTCTTTTCAATAACAAAAGATTTTTCACAAAATTCTTAAAAACAAATAAAGCAATTCTAGTGCAAGTTCTTTATGCTATTCGCGAACCAGGGGTAGGAATTACCTTTTCGGTACATTTACTCAAATATTTAAGTGATATTGCGATTATTATAATAAACAAAACAATACCTAAAGAAATAGCTATAATCACTGCAGGCTTTAATGCTGTTTAGTCACGGTAATATCGAATAGGAAAGTTAGTAAATATAGTAAATAACATATATCGTACATTTTTTAACAAAAAATATGTAAAAAAATTTTTTTCTATCTACCTGCAGTTGAAGAATATGTTTTGTTAGTAGATGTAGCGAAGGATGCCGTAGAAGAGCTAGCGAAGGTAGAAACAACAGAAAACGAAGTCGAATCTGGAATACAAAGAGCTGATAGATGAGTCATCAGAAGTTAAAGAGCTACTAGACATATTACTATATAATTTCTTCTTGAAGCCGAAGCACTACCTGAAGCGGAGGTATCGGATGGATATACAGAACCAACGATTGTAGTGTTGTGAGAGATAACTGTAAATCCCGGAAGAACAGGAATTGTACCTATAGTAGTTAATACTGTAGAAAAATCATAAGGGCCTAAAACGGTAAAGGTGGCTGGATTTAAATTAATTAGTAAGGTGGGTAGTAAAAGTGAGTTATATTTGTAGGTAGAAGATTATTATCTGAAGCATAGACAGGGGTACGTATTACCCGATGGTATTGAAGAACTAACGATCGTAGTGCCGGGAGCGATAACTGTATATCCAGGAGGAACAAGACCTGTAACTGTAGTAGTTAATACCGTAGAAAAACTATTAGGGCCCAAAACTGTTACGGTGCTGGATTTCAAATAATCAGCAGGAAGGTCATTAAAAGCAAGAGTTGAGTTAGATACTGTAGTTTTATTTTGAAAACTGTTATAACAATTATTTTTTACAATAAAGAAAGCATTCAAAGAATTTTATCAATTATACATACATCCATTTACTGTCAATGCCAATAATTCGATGAGAAGAGAGTTAAAAAGAAAAACACAAATAATTAGACGAGTCATTGCGACGACGTTGTAATGAAAAGGAGACTGAAAGTAAATGGCCATTCATAAACTTCTCTGACCGTTCTTTTATAGCTATTTTTCATTAGTTCGGATTAGGGCCGTGTTACGCTCATTGTTACAGTAAACTTTCGATAAAAGGAAAATGTTTAAGATCATTACAATTTGTTGTCCTTACTAGGTGAGGTTATAGAAACTTTTTTAAACATATGAAGTTTAATCTTTTTATTTTATATGTAAAAGTTGGTGCATATTAAACTTTTTATTTACTAACCAAGTATACTGTATATTTTTTGTATATTATAATTTTCTGATCACATACAAAAAGATGCACACAAGAATTTTTTTGACTTCTTTGCTAAATAAAGTCTTAATACTTTCTTTAAAACAATTTGAAGTATAACTTAAAATGTCATTTCTACTCTTCCTTTATTGTTTACAAACCTTTTCACTTAAAAACTGTCTTCTAATAGTCAACGAAGGTCAAATAATTCCTTTGATGTCAATAGCAATAAAATTTTTAAAGGAAAAAGTACTGATAGTGAAGTACTTGGATGCCTTTTAAACCTTTGAAATAAAGACAATAAAAAGGCTTATTTTCTCTCTTTCTAACTGTTCAGATTCTTGTAGAGTTCACACTATTATAGTTTTTAGGAAAATTTGTTCATTTCACTTTGACTCTGAATTTTAAATAGTACAAATTCTTATCAAAGGTAATTGGTTAATATAAAAAATATTAGTTTATGAAAAATAAACAGGCTCTTTTGATTATACATAATCTATTAATAATATTAATAAAAAAAAAAGTTTACTTTCAATTACATATGTTTTTTTATAAAATAATAATAATATCAAAAGATGTTGCTAAAAGTATTGCAAATAATCTAAACTTTTTTTTTATATAAGTTTTTCAAATGGTAAAAGAGCTTTTTTGAGAAACCAAAACTAAGATCTTTATTTTTTTTGAGATATTTTAATCAAGTATTAATATAAATAATGGATCTATTTATAATTATACAATTGAAACTTAGTTTTGTTTAATTTTTTTTTTTTTTTAAACAGGCAACATTATTTATTTTATTGAGTTTATATACAATTACATGTTACTTTGTCAAGTAAAGATTATATTACAGACATTTTTCCCATGTGTCTAATGTACATGGTTACAATAAAACTAATTGTTACCTGGTCTGATGGATACTTACCACCATTGGCGGTAGACTTCACCTTTGAACCCTTGTGGTATGTTGTTTTTATTAGGAACTAACATACCTAAGTGTCATTAGCATGTTCCTTGTAGATTTCGAAGATATTGTGGATTCTGTGAAGAATGTTGAGTATGAGTTCTATGGGATATGCATTCATTTTGTTGGGTATTGGATCTCTGAGTTTTGTTTTGGAAGGAGATTGCTTGTGGTTCTTTTTATTTTTTCCTACTGATATTCCTTAACTTTTTTTCCAGTTGTGTAGGTGTTTACATCTATTGATCCAGATATTGTACATCCAGAATCTGATGGTATTGCAGATGCTGTTAACAGTCTCTACTATTTTGCTATATTTAATGTATTTGCCAATAATATATAAGATAGTTTTGCTGATACCTCACATAATGATTTTGTTTCACATATTGTTTACTACTATATTTATGTGAGTTCCTGTTTGATGTTGCAAATAATGTTGTTGTCGATTCCTGCTGTTATTTCTTGGTATATAGTGTTCAATATGACTTGTTCAATGTCGATGCCATGAAATAAGCATTTGAATAGGTGGATATTGTCTTCTGTATATGGGCATGCGAAGTATGTGTCTGACTTGTAGATGTCAGAACTTCCGATGTGAAGTTTGTCCATTGTGGAGAGCTCTTGATTCCATAGTTTGAGTGCAAAACTCCTTTGTGTGTAGTCCCATGAGTCTATTATATTGAGGTTAATGGCTGACAGGTGGAGTCTCTATGCTATTTCTTGCCAGTTTATATTTTCTACCTATTGTTTAGTTAAGTCTTTGTTTCTGTTGAGTGTGATCCATTGATATGTTAACTGTGTTTGCCTAATTTGTTTGAGGGCCTTTCAGACAGTTGGGGTGATTTCTGTTTGATTTTTATAATGGAACGTGAGAATATGATCACTAAGAGTAATATCGATTAGCTGTCATTGAGGGCTGGTCGCATTGTTGTTGTTGTAGTACTTTGCTAGTCTGTCAGCTTTGAGGAAGTGATGAGTGGTAGTGTAGTTCTGTTTATCTGTTTTGAGCCAGGTGATAAAAGTCTGGTAGTGTGTTGTTATGATGCTGTGATTGCTGATGAGCCTTAGTTTCTTGATTTTTTTAATGTTATTTTTACTGTATGCATTGTATTTTCCTATTAGGGAAAGTAAATCAGTTTCGATGGTAAGGAATCTTTTCAGTCCGCTTATAGCTATTGCTATTATTACAGCCAGGATCTCTACTCTGAGTGCTTATAGTTGTCCTTCTAGTTATAGTCCGATTGTAACTATACTTGCATAATTGTCCCTGATATTGATACCTATTACACATATGTTGGGGTCATTTTCAAAGTTATATGCTCCATCTGTATAGATGTGGAGACTGTTTATATCCTTGACTTTGCGATATATTAGGATAAGTTCTTGTTTGATTGAGAGGTTAAAGTTAATGGTATGGAGGAGTTCTTATAGTATATGTGGGGTGCTATTAATTTCTAGTTCATCAAAGATTAAGTTGGATTCTGTCAAGAAATATCTGATACTATTTGGTAATATTTATATTCTTTTCTTTAATATAGAGTCAAGTGAGCTATATGATTTTATAGTATTGATCACAGGAACCTTGAAGGCTCTAGTCTTTAGTACTTCTATACAACAGATTTCTCCTTTGTTGTCTGTGGTGTTGAAGATGTTACAACCAGTGCAAGCATTTACAGGAGAGTTGTTTATTATAGTATAGTACCTGATTTTGATAGTGTCAGGTTTTTCACTAATGCATTTGCCTACAACTTATTGATGTCTGAAATGTGTAATGTATGGTCAACTCTTGATAACAGAAACTGTGCACAATAGTCTATATTAGTTAATAATCAATGTGTTAATGGAAAATAATTACGATTATCAAAATTTTCTGGGTTCCGGTTTACTCAATAAAAGAAAATTTTGATACACAGGGGGATTTCGAAAAATCTGAAATTTTTTTTAAATATAAAAAGTTGTTATATAATAAATTTTTTATTCTATTAATTATAATATTATTTATGTATTAATTAAAGTTAAATTACACACTAATTCTATATATTATGAAATTTTCATTAAACTATATAAGATGTTTATTATTAACATTTAAGCTTTACATTTATATAAAAATTTTTTTAATTTTTGAGTTTAATTACATTATATAATATATTACTAAAACTGATATTTTAATAGATAATATTCTATTAAGCAATATTGTATATTATATCTTTATTTACATATATATTGAATTTTATTAATTTCTATCAAATACTTAAAAATCGACTCAGTAAAATATAATTGTCATTAATAAATGGTTAAATTTAAAATTATTATCATTAATTTATAATAATTGTTTCTTAGAAAACTTTTTATTTTATTAGTAAATTTATTTTAGTTAATTATGTAAATATAATCAGTACAATAAACTCTATCTATAGTAAGTTTTTTATTAAATTTTAATAAAAAATTATAAAGTTATATATGAATATTAATAAAAAATCAAATTTATAATTAAACAATAAATTTCCATTTAAATTTAGTAAAATTCCACTAAATATAGAAAATAATATTAGAAATATATTTACTTAGTTGATAAAAGTATGTTTATATAGTAAAAAAAATATTTTATATGTAACTACGATTATAAATAAATTCTAAAAAATTTTTATTATTTTTAAGAATTATATTTACAATTTATGTGAATAATATTTATTTAATTTATATAAATAAGTATAGATATAATATAATATGATATAATATTTTAAATAAAAATACCAATTCTTATATTTTTGTAAAATTTTTTGCTACAAAGAATTGGACATTTCTATATAATTACTATCCAAATCCAATTTAGAATCTTGTTCAATAAAATTAATAAAATTATTTATATTTTTGATTGCTAAATCAGATTTGTCCTTTTTTTGTTAAATAAAATCTATAATATTCTCCTTTGTAATATTTAAATTTTCAAATAAGTCATTATTTACAATATAATTATGAATATCTTCATAATTATATGGTAATTGATTAATCAATTTTTCCATTTCTTCTAAATTATGTTGTTGAAATGAAATTACTTCACTAGTAATAGTACTATCAGAAGCAGGAGTTTGAGAATCATCTATTTCTTGAGGAATTTGAGAAGAAGAAATAATATCAGTTTTTCTTCAACAATTTGAAATAATATTAGGATTAATATTATCCCAAGCTTCTGCAATCCAATCTATTGCATGTTTAATATTAATATTTTCAGAAATTCTTGAAGTATTATATGTCAAATTAAATTGATCTATCTTAAATTTTATCAACAATCATCTATATTGCACCTATATAAGTTAAGTTTAATTAATATATTAAAACATTAAAATTATAAAATTATTATATTTACCTTAATTGAATGAATAATTCCTGCATCCATTGGTTGTAAATGTGCAGTTGTGTTAATAGGTAGTAAATGTAGTGTTATATTAGACAAATCCTTAGATTTCAAACTACTGTCATTACAATGAGCAGGTGCCTGGTCATAAAGAAGAATAATGAATCTATTATCTTCTTTTATTTGATTATTTAAATGAATTAA